GAGTTTAGGGCTGTTGTACATAGGGTCGCTATGAGTCGCAGGCGACTCGACAGCACATAACAACAACAACAACAACCAATTTTGTGTGACTCCCTTTGACAGTATCACTTGGTACAATCATCATCCTCTACACTCTGAAAAGACACTGGTGTTTTGAGATAACATATGCCAGGCACTGTGCTAAACTTTATAGACACACATACATATACAGATAGAGATCTGCAATCCCTTGGTGAAGAAACCTATGAATCAGCTAAAAGAACAATAGTTAACATGCATTTTCTGTATTGTGTGATAGCACGAAGAATGATACCCTAAAATATCATTGAGAAGACTTCTGTTTAAAATACCACTGCATTTAGAAGAGAACAAATTACCATGGAATTGTGGTGAACTAGCCTCTGTGACATACTCTTCTGCCCTCAACTTTTCTCCAGTCTCCATCTGGAGAATAAACTTCCTCTGAAGAATGTCCGAGGGCATCCTCAGATACCCTAAACTCATTTTTCTCTTTGTGCCTTCGCACATACCATTCCCTCTGGGCTCACATCTTCTCACCACTGACTCTAGTATGTTATTCATGTGTCAAGTCTAAAGTCTCCTTTAAGGGAAGGTCGTCTATGACTATTTTGTTAAAATTGGCACCGCTACATCCCTCTTCACTTGCCAGTTTTTTTTCAAGTACTACAGTCTGACTTCATTTTTCTCATGCCATTTTCACAATCTGAAGTGACGTGATCATGTTCACTTATCTGTTTACTAGCTCGTGTTAGTCACCCTCCAGCAGAAGAGAAAATTCATAAATAGGGATTCTCTTTATTGCTTATCATCACTGTCACCAGTTCGTAGATCATGATCAAGTGCTTAGTCGTAATGAACGAATGATTAAAAACTGTGCTAGATGTAAGCATAAGTTGCAAAGATGAGCATTTACAAGGCGGCCAAACTAAATGAAGAGAAAGTCTAATTAGGTTTCCTGAGACATGATGAAAGATTTAGACTATGATAAGTCACATGCAGGGTTGGGGGAATTGGAAGAAAAAGTGATGGAAGTGTAGCAGTAGAGGCAAACAAAGACGACATATTAGAAAGATTTCATTTGTGTGTCAGTCATGCCAAGAACAATGTGGAACTCTTGAAGAATTACACCCTTCTTTTCCAAAATAGATTATGTCAGCAGGCACAATGTACTCCAATTTTGACCTTAGCTGCAGTATATATTATAAGTCCTAAAAAAAAGAAAAGAAAAAAAAGAGTTGAATTTATTCATTAGACTAACACAAGGGATCTCTGACATTTTTGCTCCAGTTAGAAAATTCATGAGCGCCTTGTGGACTTCTGCTTGATGACAAATCCAAACTGATTGATGAAATGAGGAAAAAAGAAAGAAAGAAGCTCAATGTCATTAAAAGGATCAAAACTGTTTATTTTAACAAGTCCTTGTTAGTGATGCTTAGTGCTAAAATGCCTCCCTCCCACATGAGATGATTCTTCTTATGATAGGTGTAGAGAAAATGCTATGTTAATTCAGTAATGATTTGCTAAAGTGGTTTTACGCTATAGGAGTAACACATCAAGGATGGCCATAGATTTAATATAGTGAAATACCGTTACCATGTATCTTGTTCAATTTTGGTGTGGATCAAATCCATTAATTAATATTTGAAGATTTGTATTTTATATTTAAAATATTTTATTTTAAAGGCCTAGAATATATTTGTTTTTCATTTGTCTTTAGCTTAATATCACAAAACATATACACACATTGATTCCCCCAGGCTTGGTGCAGGTGTGGTTGGAATTGTTAATATACCGTTGGAGATAATGGAACCATCCCATAATAAACAGGACTTTCTCAATGTCAAAGAATACAATCATCTGCTGAAAGTCATGGGACAGTACTTGGTCCAGTACTGTAAGGACACTGGAATCAGTGAGTATTCAATTGTTATAGCAAGAGACGTTAAATACAGAGAAATATGTGTGGCTTTTGTAAACTGAAATTATGATATTTATTCAGTTAACAGTAACTCAAAGCCCCTGAAGAGATCTCCTTAATTTAAAATACAAGGGAAATGAGAAGGGATACAGAATCTTTCCAAGAATATTGTATTAAAAATAAAGCAGCAGTTGAGAGTTTTAAGGGAAGGACAACGAGGCAGCACTGTGGAATGGCACATGATCACAAAGGGAAGGTTATTCAAAACAGACAGCTTTGAAACTCCACTGTAGGAGCACATAGTCCCAAGTGGGTCTAGTGATGCCTACGGCATTGTTATTTGACATAGAATAATTGTTGACCCTGGGTACTTGCAATGAGGTTAAACTTTGTTTTATACCACCTAACACATCTTTACTACCTTAATTCTAAAATTATTTCACCAACAGGACTAGGAATATATGTGTTTTGAAACAAATATATAAACCAGTGATTTGAAAAATATGACATGATCAAGTAATTTCCTTTTCCAGAGAGACATGAACAACATGGTGGTGTGCTTTGTATTCATTAATGAATCTCTTTTAAAACCTCCTAGACATAGAACTTTATTCATGGAAAGAAATAGACAAGCTGTTGTGTATTTGTACAATGATTTTCATGAATGTTGTTTTAACTCCCATTTTGTAAGTTGTCTAAAGACTAGAGTCATAATTTTTGACATACATACATAGATCATGCATATCAAGAATTATGTCTCTAGCATGTCTTTCAATATGGTTTTTCTAGTATTATTTGAATGTGGATCACTGACCATGTGGGTGAGTGGGAGGGATTGTGCAAATGGGGTGTGTTGGATTATCCACAAAAGGTTTGGCTATCTACCATTCCACAAGGGGATTGGCCCATCTCAATAAACTATGAGAGGATTGACTAGTCTCAAAAATAAATTGAACAACTCTAGCTGCAGAGATAACATCTTCCCCTGAAAGTGAAGAAGAGACCTTCCCCCACCCCAGAGAAAAAGAAGCAGTAAAAATGTAGAACACATTTCAAGACAGCAGCAGCGGCCCTGGCTGACGTAGAGACCTGTCATGAAATAGTGATGTGAGACGAGACCTTGGGAGAGGGGGGAAGACAATATTGTCAGAACTGAGAACTTTGTTGGACATTGGGGTTGTTGTTATTGTTATGTGCTGTTGAGTCAACTCTGATGCATAGAGACCAGGTATACAACAGCTCTGAAGCCTGCTGTATCCTAAGTCAATTCCATCATTTCTGATATACCTACCCTCATTAACCAAGTCATTGAATGAATTCATCTTATCCGGTCTTGGGGAGAGCCTATATTGGCAGGACCAAGAACTCAGGATACAATGTCCTGAAGGTGCAAGGCTTGAGGCTGAAGTACCTATGTGTACATCTCAGGAGCTGTCTTGATTGCATTCTATTACTAATCTGAATTGTTCATAGGGTTGCTTTGAGTCACAAGCAACTCAATGGCACATAACAACAACAACATCTTGAGTTCCTCAGTATAGTTCTATGTGTTCTGTGAGCAATAACATCAGATTTTGGACCCAGCAAAACAGTAAGATCGGTGATGAGATGAGTAGAAAGAAGTATTGGAGTTTGAGGGACATGTCTGATCTCATAGGAATTTGTTTTGTATTATTGATGCTGTCGATGGGGACAGTTGCCCTTTGTGAAGTAGGTAAAGGTCAAATGTGGCCATCCTCCTATGGCCTTTGCTCTTTTTACACCTTGAGATAATTTTAAAAAATCTATAGACTGCCCTGGTGGTGTTATCTATAGGGAGTTGTGCTGCTAACTCAAAGGCCTTACCTTCCCAAACAGAGAGAAGAAGAAGGCAGGCAGTTGAGTGGGCTTAGAGGTGAGAAAAGGTTGAGGGAACAGATTTGCTGTCAAAACTGGATTTTCATGTCCATGTTTGAAAGCTGCTCAGAGTACGATTGTGGACCATCAACATAAGGACAACCAGAAGTCTCTGAAAATGTACTCTAAGGCTCCATCACGAACTTCTTCTTATGTTCCATTGACTCATAGAGACCCTATGAACAACAGCTCTGAAGCCTGTCATGTTCTGAGCTAATCTCACTGACTCTGATACATCTACACTCATAACCCCAGTTACTGTATCAATCCATTTCATCCAGGGTCTTCCTCTCCTACACTGTCCCTCCATCCTTCTGAGTATCTCTTGGCAAGGTGCCCAAAGTATATGACATAGAGCTCCAAAATCAAGTAGAAACTTGGTTTCACCCTCCCAGACCTGTGGAATCTGTGTTTGGGGTGGGGAAAGAACACACACGTTATTTTTATGCACATTCAAGCTTAATAACACTATGCAAAGATAAATGCATTCACATATTTTTTCTTATGGTGAGTGTTGTCAAATTGGAACTGACTCATAGCTGATAGTCTGGCAGATTCCCCGAGGCTGTGAATCACACAGGGTAAGATTGCCTATTTTTCTCCCATGGAGCAGCTGGTGGATTTGAGCCACCTGGTTTTGGTTGGCAGCATAACTTCTTATACAGTAGGCCATCAGATCTCATTTTATTTATTTATTTACTCTTTAAATTCTTTTAAACATGTTTGAAGTTAAACATAGCAGTGACTACATATACTTTGTCTAAAGTCTTTCCTCATTTTCTCTGTCGTTAGAAAAAGAATTACTAACAAAAACATTAGAAATCATAGAAATGCTCTCAACCTAAAAACTAGTTGCTGTAGTGTCAATTCTGACCTCATGTGTATCAGAGCAGAACTGGAGTACACAGAAGTTTCATTGGCTAATGTTTTCAGAAAGAGATGTCCAGGTCTTTCTTCCCACATCCCTCCAGGTGGGCTCCAGGTAGACTACCCTTCAACCTTGTGGCTAGTAGATCATCACCTAGGAACTCTTATCTCTCACTGACCCTGAAACAAATGGAAAACAATTGCCACCGAGTCTGTTTCAACTCATTCGAGCCCCATGTGTGTCAGAAAACAGCTATACTCTGCTGGATTTTCAAGAGCTAACTTTTCTCCTGCAGAGCTGATTTTTCTTCTAAAATTGGAAGTAGAATTATGGATATTATTTTCCTCCTGAGCTGCTAGCCCCTTGGATAACATGTATATCTAGTGTCATAGTCAATTATAATTCATAATGACTCTATAAGACAAAATATAACTTCCCCATTAGTTTACCAAGAATATAATCTTTTCGAAAGCATATAACCCCACATTTCTTCCATGGAATACCTGGTGACTTCAAGTTACTAGTCTATCAGCAACTATTTTGTTGCTTAACTTTGTGACACTAGGGCTGCTCGGACTCTATTCTGAATTGATTAGAATTCCTTTAGGAAAACTGTACTAAGCCCTGTTTCTGAGCAGCAGCATTGCTCTAAATTCTTTTGGTCCAGGTGTCCTATCTACAAGTGAATTTTTTTTTTTAAATTTTCATCATGCTTGGAGTGAAAGCTTATAACAAAAAGTTAAGACATTATTTTCTTAATTCCTTATGTGCCTTTGAATTGATCTGTGGTTAGAGGATACTCTCACAGAGATGCTTTTTTGAGGGAAAGTAGAGAGTGTCACATGAATAATAAGTTTATTTATTTATTCATAGATCCCACACCTTATGCTAAACTTTCATTTGTTGTTGTTGTTTAGTGTTGTTGAGTCATAGTTGACTCATAGCAACCCTGTGAATTAAAGACCTGAGCACTTGTATAACTTTCATTGGTTCTCCATGTTCATAGAGTTTCTGGAGGCAAATTATTTCAGAAGTGGATGCCACTCCTGATTCCAAGCTTGTTTTAATCTGAGAGCTCCACCAAACACTGTCCATTGTAGGTAACAATTATCACATTTAACACATCAGTGACATAGTGTTTAACATCACAGAAACCAAGAGTTATCTCTGTACAGCAAATGGGCAGACCAGTGCTATACCACTTAGAAGAATGTTTGACCAAAAACAATTAAAACCAGGCCTGAGGGGCTGCAGGTTAAAATCACGCACATTTGGCTTGGTAGCATAACTTTCTATCTACTAGGCCCCAGATCTCTCTCTATATTGTTGCTGTTGTTAAGTGCCTTTGAGTCATAGATGACTCATAGCGACCCTATGAATGAAAGACCTGAACACTTGTATAACTTTCATCCTTTCTCTAAGCTCATAGAGTTTCCAGAAGCAAGCTGTTTCGAAAGTGGATACCACTCCTACTTCCAAGCTTGTTTTAATTGGTGAGCTCCACCACACACTGTCCACCATGGGTAACCATTATCACATTTGACACATCAGTGTCACAGTGTTTAGCATCACAGAAACCATGAGTTACCTCTGTACAGCAAATGGACAGATGAGTGCTATACCACTTAGAAGAATTTTTGACCAAAAGCAATTAAAACCAGGCCTGAGGGCCACAGATTAAAATCACCCACATTTGGCTTGGTAGCATCACTTTCTGTCCACTAGGCCAACAGAGCTCATTATCAAACTGAATCAAGTAATCAAAGTCTGGATTAGTAATCTCATTAGCTATTTTAAGGAAATAAACCTTCGGGGTCTTTATTCATTTGTTTCCACAGGAGTATAAAACGTTATGTAATGCTAGAATAATAATCCAATATTCAGGTACCGAATTTTGATGAAAAGTATTTGGGTAGATTTTTTTGCCTTATAAATAAAAGATGTAATCTTTGTACTTGCTGTAAATCTGGTATGTTTCCATGGAAAATTGGGCTTTTTTAGAAATTTAATCAGCAGAAAGCAAAATGGGGAGATAATGACTTTGGGTCATTTATCAAATCTGCATTTCCTGTTGGCACAGTTGATGGTAAGAATCTAAGAAATATTTTTTGCATCTGTGAGGCTGACATCACCTTACTGTCCATTGTTGTGTTTTCTAAAGTTGTATATATTCATATCATAAAATGGAAATATTAATCATCAGCTTTCGGAGTCCAAAAAAAGGAAAGAA